GTGTGTGTGTGTGTGTGTGTGTGTGTGTGTGTGTGTGTGTGTGTGTGAGAGAGTGAGAGATATTTCAGGAGGAGGGATATTATTGAATAGCCACATTTAGATTGTTGGCTTGCAGGTTATTGAGCTCCATGTGTGCAGCCAGTTTGATTTGCGTATGTTAGTGTGGAATAGAAATACTGTGAGTTGATGCCAGGTGTGAGAGATAATGCTGAGTGGAGTGCTCCATTACTAATTTATTACAATAGATGCCAAAACACAGCAAGGGGGCTGCTTAAGCTTCCCTTTCACTAACGCGCACACGCTTACACACAGAACACCTCCCAAGAGGAGGTGGTACAATGTGTGTGTGTACGAGACTAGAGCGGTGGGGGGGGGGCTGTTATGAGCCAACGGAACGGCGGCCAATTGGATTATCACGCTTACCAGCTCTGAACAATGGAGTGAAAGGAAGGAAGAGGAAAGAAGTGCAGTTTGCAGGGTCAGACTTGTGTCCTTGCAGCAGACAGGGTGGAAAGCAAGACTATTAATCATTTATAAAGATGGTTTAATGACTTGTTATGTCTGATAGTGATCAGTAAAGTGGAGGTGGATTGCTGCAGTTTGTTTCTTATCTGATTGTGTATTTGTTCTGTCCGTTTAATAGTGTGTACGCTCTGTGGCTTTCATTTGTGTTACAGTGTTTTCCTCCATCAGCCTGGACCTGCTACCAGAAAGAGCTGCTACTCTGATGGTGTATGAAGATGTTGTGGAGATTGTTTCAGCCTTACAAGGTAAAGTGGTGTGCGTGTGCGTGTGCGTGTGTGTGTGTGTGCGTGTGTGTGTGTGTGCGTGTGTGTGTGGAGACTTTTTTGCCTGGGTGTATTCAGGTCATGTTTTTCATGAAAAAACACTCAACTCATTTAAAGTAGCAGATTTGTCAAAACACTTGTCGGTATGTGATATGTCAAAATATGCAACTGTGTTATTATATTATGTATTATGACATAATTGAGCTGCTGATACGCACCCGAAGAATAAATGGTTAAATCACAGTTTTTGTGCTGGAAATAGTTTTCTTAAAATCTGATTTCTACCTGTTTGTTCGTATTTTTGATTCGGATTTTTTAGCCATTTTTGATAACAAAAATAAACAACAATAAATTCACATTTGTTCTTAATATGAAATGATAATAAAGTGTCCTACCTATACATTAAATGTCCTGTTGTTGAGTAAAAGTCCTCCATCCACACATGTATACAAATGTACATCATGAGTCGGTCTTTGTTAGTCAGCCTCTTTGTTACGGTGTGTGTAATTATATTGGATCAGGCAGAATCAATACAGCCTCTTTGTGTGCTCGGCCTTTTGTGTGACTGACCGACAAGGGAGTCATTTAATGTGTCAGCTGTGTTGTCTGGCTAAAAATAAAACTTCGCAGACTCGTAAATATACAGTCTCCATTAACATGTAAACCTCTCGAGTACACTGTCCGCAGCACGTGTCGGAGTGGAGTGTAGACCCGCTGTTTGTCAAGATGTTGTGAACTTGTGGGCCCAGGGGAGTGATAAACCTTGGCATGTGGCACGAGGAGAGAGAATAAAAGAGGAGGAGGAGGAGGAGGATACAGTATGTGCTGGAAAATGGGATTGTGGGTGGAGCAGTTGGAGGGAGAGAATAGGGGAGAAAGGGGGGGATGGGCAAAGCGGTGTCCAACAGAAGGAGGAACAGATGAGGTGAGAGGAAAGTGGAGGGAAAAAAGAGGAGAAGAGTTGAGGGAAGGGAACACACAAAGAACAGAAACGGGGTCATTTCCTTTCACAAAAACAGACGCTCAGAAGGGAAATAACACTCGCACCTGAACGTCAAGACCGAGCCTCAGACCGAAACATGGAAATTAAAAGATGCACACAGTGCAACTAGAAACACAGTGAGCTCTCATATACAGCTGGATGTGTGCCTCACTGCTCAGGAATGTGCTCTCGCTACAGTCGGACCACAATGACATCACCTTGATGAGTCCAGCTCAATGCAGTTGTGACTGTTTAACCTTCTTTATGTATGATGTGTTAATGGCAGGCTGGAGGGGGTTAAATGCAAAGCTATTAATTGCACTGAAAAAATATCAGAAAGAAGCAATCACACTGGCCGAGAGAAACAAAGTCGAGCAAGGCATTAACTCTACTGTATTGACGTAGAGTTGCTTCCATTAAGCCTGATTTGATGGCTACATTTCTAAAAAGGCATTAGGAGAAAACGAGGAGTGAAGAATTGCCTTGTAAAACATCCTGAAACAACATCAAGTGTGCAAGATGGCCGGCAAAACCTCCTGACGTAAATCTTTGTCACATTTCTTCATTCAATTTAATTTGGAAACTGAAGTAGAAAAACTCATTTGAGTTTAATTTTTAATCATCAAATATGTACAGTTTGTATTACAACTGTGACATACATTTTGCATTATGTACTGAAAAAATGCACAGCCTACTTGCACACAGTCGGTATACACTTTCGCATGTAATACTTAAATTACATAATTTATAACTATTGTAAAATAATTATTTTATATTAACATATATCACGGCCTTCGTCTGAACATTTATTACTTCTGGAAATGTTTGCCTTCAATCAGATTTTGTAAATTAGAAGAGCAGATGTGTTTATTCACAAATAAAAACAGTTCTGATGAACAGTTTTTTATTAATTATTTGGTAAAAAGGATGTGAACAATATATCGATAAAATGCAGCACCCTGGTTCACCCTCCTCCATCAACACGTCCATGTTTTCTGACGTCTCTCTGTCACTCCTCAAGGTTTCCGGCCTCCGCCCAGCGTTCACTTCCAGCGCAGAGCTCTGAGTCTTCCCTCCAACACGTCTTACGCCAACCTCACTGCTCTGCTCACCGTGGCCAGCTCCCCCTCGCACATCCAGCACTTTCCCCACCTGCAGGTCCTCGGCGGCAACGGCACAGGTGAGGCTCGAAACTGGCTGGACGGTAACGGACTCGAGTGTACGAAATAGGGCCGAGGAGAGTCTGGCACAGATGACAGAGGGGAAAGCTGATGAGAGGGTGTGGGGAGTGAAGAGAACAGAAGAAGCGGTGGTACATGAGAGAGACGTTACCCAGGAGAGGCCTCTCTATCTGACCTCCTGAAACACAATAACCCCTGTGTGTGTGCTCAAGCCTGCACGCTTTCAGCCAGTCTCATCCATGTCTTGATGTGTGTGTGTGTTGTATACATTTGTGTGTCCTTCAGCTTGAACACCCCTCAGAAACTCCCCCTCCGCACGTACCTTCTCTCTCTGGGAAACACAAGCATACTTGTGCTTTGTGACACTTTCCAACCTCTCTCCACCCGGTTTCCTTCTTTCCTGTCTTTCCTTTGTTTTCTTTCCTGTTTGTCTTTTCTCTAACAACTCTCCTTTATCTATGCTTTTCATGTTACTCCCTTCCCCCCCGTGCTATCTACTCCTTTCTCTGCTCCCCCTCCTGTGCACTGTACTCCCACTCACTCTCTCTTACTTTCTCTCTTACACTCTTCTGCTTCCCTCACAGAGACGGAGAAGAGGTTTGAGTTGACTCCTGTGGCAGCCATCTCTGTTCACTTATTGGCCAGCGACGGAGTGGAGCTGCAGGTGAACGAGCCAATCACGGTCTCTGTCCCCCTGCCGGCTGACAGTGGCCTGAAGGAAAATGATCACATCCCTGCTTGGAGATTTGACCCGCGCTTGGGTACGTACTGAGTAACAAAAAAAAGCTCTTTCAACTTTCTCAGCATAAAGTCTTCTCATCTACATATCTTTGTTAGTATCTTCCGCTAAGATATTTGAAAAATAACCCTTTTAAAAATGTATGAGTATGAGAATAGAAGCACTAACGCAATCCACGTGCATGCCTGCACAGTGCAGCGAGGTCACAGCTTTTTGTGGCTGCGTGTCTGAGTGATGAATGAATTTATTCATAAGGTCATACAAAATTACCAACATGCGGCTCCACATTAATCTACCAATCAAAACACAAATACTGCCACGCATCACAAGATTGGACCGTGGGTGTATAATCTGCTGGAGCTCAGTTAAATCTTGAACTAAACAAAGAGCTCTGCGGTGCAGACTCCCACGGACCCTTCAAGCCTCTCTGGACCCTTTTTTGTTTATCTCAGCAATCTTGAATCTGTGATGTCAGACGTCCCGCAATGTGACACACCCAGTTCTTCTTGGACAGGCGGAGCCGAGACACTGTGATTAGATCATCAGTCGAGTGGGACGTTTCTGCACAACAAAACATCCTTCTCTACATTAGGATCACATTTCCAGATCTACTGTACATTATGTTTGTGTGCTCTGTGCAGACCTATTAAGATTCTTCTGATGAAATGTACCGGGTTATTTGAGCTGAGACATTTTGTCGATTAATCGCATAGTAGTGAAACTGAATAATCTATTAAACCTGTGATGATGGAGTTTCTTTTGGCCACTTTGGGACAGCAGAAATAAGCTATGATCACTGACATAACCCGTCTTAAAAAGCTTCTAATGCCCTAAATGTCTTCTTTATTAAACATGGTTTAGTCCTAACTGCATGTGTGATTAGGCTAAATCTAAATCTACCCCCGAAAAAAGGCTCCGTTTAAAGTGCCCAAAGTATCAACATCCAGAGCTTATAAAAAGGGCTTTGATAAAAGCTAAGAGAACACACACACACACACACACACACACACACACACACACACACTTGTAGCCTACGCACTGCCTGGAGCAGCGAGTATTTCCACAGCAGAAGTCATCCCGGACCCTCTCTCCGGGCTACATCTTGTGTTCCTTAGCAACCCACCAAATAAGTAACATAACAGAAAGGCCTGTCTCCTGATTAAGTTTCTTCACTGTGTGTGTGTGTGGGTGTGTGCAGTTATGTATGTATGTATGTGTTAAACCGAGGACAGAAAACGGACACAAAGAAAGTTCTTTTGAAGTCCGTCTGGTGCCTTGTTGGAGGAATACTTCGGGCTGATAAAAGCTCTGTCACAAAGAAGTTTAGTTTTGTTTACAAAGTGTGCACATGGGAGACATGCACAAAAACCGGTTTGTGTTGCATAACAACAACTCCTTGCGTATTGTTACATGTTATTGGAGCGTGAACCAAAATGATGTCAAGCACAAACAGATCAAGTTCACCAGTTTTTGTGTGCGTCATTCGTAAAAACAGACGCACCTTCACCCTGAGAGGAGTCCCTCAGGTGAGCAGACTACTATTGGAACAAAAAGACCCGAATGTCAGCTGTGTTGACTTTGCATGACTGGGCGAGAAGCTGAAGTAATGTACGGGCTGTATTGACATTATAAATATTTGCATTGTGTCTAAACATTGGCCAGACTCTGTGCAGTGTATTGTATTGAGGCGTGGGAACGGAGTCATTAAATGTTGCTATTGCAGGTCGGTCACACAGAGAGAGGACTCCCCTGTGGAAACAATCGGACAGCCGGGGTGAATCCAGGCAGGGCTGGGCACAGAGCTTGTGTGTGTGTGTGTGTGTGTGTGTGTGTGTGTGTGTGTGTGTGGTGCTGAGTCACACAGCCTTTCTCGTTTCTCTTTGCCTCTGTTTCTTGAGCCATTTCCCTCATCTCTTCTTCCATTCCTCCTCTTTGTTCGCTCTTGTTTCTTCTTTATGTTTTCTTCCAAGCTCTTTATAGATATTTGTTTTTCTTCATTGAATATCTTCTCCTTCCCTTTTTTGTTTTGTTTCCTCCCTCCAAAGGATCGATTCAGATTCCTGACCACTTGATGTTGTATAACTGGAAATAGACAATGAAACAAAGTGGTTCACCGTGAGGGGAAGCGTGAAGGCACAACTGAATGTTTCCTATTGGAGCAGAGTTACTGTGAGCCAATCAATCAGTGACTCTGGCTTTGTTGTGTTTTTGTCATACTGGCACTGCTGGAGCTGGTATTGTGCTCCTATTCATAGGCCCTCAGTGATATTTGACTGAGCATGCTGCCTCCATGTGGGAGAGATAAGTACTGCCAAAATACACTCTCCAATCTGAAAAAAAGATCTTTCATTTCTGTCAGCACCATCAGACCTGTACTGAACATTGTCAGTACTGCCAGCTGAAGTAGTCGGGAAGTGTCAATTTTAGCAAAACAAAAGTGAATCAACAATGTTGTTTTGATTTGATTTATTGTATCATTGGGAGTCAGTGTTAAATATGGCTAGGAATTTCTAAAACATTATATTATAAATCAATATTGTCCATATTGTCCTCACTGGTTTCCCATTATACTGTCATACCGAAACAGGTATTAAATTGCATTATATGTGGCATTAAAAAGGTCTTGGAAAGTCTTGGATTTAATCCTGCTGTTGATTGATCGTACTTCTGTCACAGTAACACATTTTTATTGTTTAACATAAATAACTTAAACCTGACGGATATCTAAACGTAGATAAGTAGAGTGCTGCTTTGTCAGGTGGGAGGCAAGCCAACCAGTTGTCACTTTGCCACTAATGCACTCTGTGAACCGGCACACTGTCTCTTATACAAAATAACTGTTGGCAAATTAAATCTCAAGCCCTGTGATTGTGTGTGTGTGTGTGTGTGTGTGTGTGTGTGCAGGTGCCTGGATAAAGAGCAGTTGGGGTCACGTGCAGCGTGAAGGCAACCAGCTCTGTCTGACCTACATCGCTCCTCAGCTGGGATATTGGGTGGCCGCCATGTCCCCAATACACTCAGGTGAGCTTTGACACAGATTACAACACAGATTCTGTCATGTCTGTGTTCACATACAGTATTTGGAAAGATGTCAAGTGCAATTCCTACTTTCCAAGGGTCCGCTTTGGCCCGTCTGACTTAGACGTCGCCATCCAACCATGTCAATGAGAGTCCACATGGAACCAACTCTATGTGGAAGTTTGTGTGCAGCCCAAAACTTGTGACTGACGGACTCTACGCACAGCATGCACGCCAACTGCGCGTGCTCCAGTTTCTCTCCACACTCCGGTCCAGTTGGTGGTGTACGCACATCTAGAGAGGAGAAGAAGATAACGAAGTGAATGCTTGTTTTGAAGAGAGGTTGTGCGAGGAGATCCACTGAAAACAATGTTCTGGTACATTGCCGCTACCAACTGGAATGGAGTGTGCATCAGAAAAATGCGCTTGCGTGGAATACCAAACCGTCACGAACCCTCAATTGTTGTATGAATAGAACCGCGTGTGCAGAAAGTATGTCTGAGGCTTCACAATACAAAAGTGAAAACAGTAGTGACATTGCGAGGCTGGTAATAAGAAATAATAATTACTTTTTTTTACAGTTTACAGTGAGCAAAAGTTGTTTCATTTAAAAAACAAACCGTTTCTTTGTGACCTTTTGTCTGACCAACAGGTCCAGTGTTTGCGAAGGACATCAGCACGTACCACACCGTGTTCCTGTTGGCTATACTGGGAGGCATGGCTCTCATCCTGCTCTGCCTGCTCTGCCTCCTGCTGTACTACTGCAGGTGTGTGAAACGCTGTCCACAGCAACACTAAAGCCTGTCGGAAGTTGCCAGATGTATCTCCTAAATGAGGAAACAAAGGCAACATTTTAACAGTGTCAGAAATGTACAATAATATGAGTCTGTTCTTATGACTGGTTGTGTGGAATCGCTGTCTAATTCATGCTTTATATTTATGTACTTGACTTTGTTCAGTGTGTACTAAATATATAATACACATTAGTGTCTTTATCTGTAAGAAATCAATTTCCTTTGTCTGAGAAACATTGTTTTGCATCCCTTCAGCATTTGGTGTCGTGTTGAGGAGAAGAATTTAAAGTCAAATGGATTCCTCTGATTGCATCATAATCTCTGTTTTCTGCAGGCGACGTTGTTTGAAGCCTCGAGTGTCTCACCGCAAGCTCACCCTGTCCTCCGGTCTGGACAGCAGTAAGAGGGACCAAGCCACCTCCATGTCCCACCTGAACCTCATCAGCAACGAGGTCTGTCTGACTTACAGAGAACGGTTCTATCGCTACTCTCACATGCACTGTTGTAGTGAACATTAGAGGAAATACTGGCTCCCTGTGTCACATCTGCCCAGCTGAGGGGCGAATCCTTCATCAAACATTCCTGTGGTGGGCAGAAAAAAAACAATTCCTCAAACTACGAAGAATCAATAGTGTCTGTGATAGGATTACTTTACTAGATCTCATGTTTCCCTTGGTCGGTGTCTGCTTTATATTTTACTTTACATTGAGTATATTTAAAAAGTGTGTTACAGTTGTATATGTTGCACTCTTTAGGTGCAGCTGGAACTTGTTTCTACAGCGACTGAGCCCGACATGACTACACCGATGCTGAAGCCTTCCTCATATGAGCACCAAGACAATCATCGCCAGCACAGCCTAATCCATCACAGCAAACACAGCCGCTCCTCTCTCGGCAACAGCCACCACGGCTCATCTCTTGGCAATCTGACGCCTCGCAGCAGAGACTACCTGCAGTCTGTGGAGACGTTCCAGTTGAAGGCCGCCCTCTCGAGCGGAACAGACAGAGGCTATCGCCAATCATACACCTCCGCCTGCTCGTCCAGCAATCTCATTTCAGATGCTTCCGCCAATCACGGTCAGGTGTCTGCTAACCGTCTGAGCGGTGTCGGGATTCTTGATTGCATCTCCCCTTCCTCTCCTCCTCACTCCCCCAGTAGAGGGGAGGGATGCGAGTGCAGAGCTCCTGACTTCCTTCTGTCTCGCTCTGTGGACCACCTGGAGCGTCCCAGTCCCCCGTTGCTCTCCCGACCAGGCCAGCTGCTCTGCTGCGGCTCCGTGGACCTGCTGAGTGGAGGAGAAGGCTACCCGAGGGTGCGTCCCACACTGGTAATCCCGGCACACTACATGCGCCTGCCAGGGGAGCACCCTCTGTCTGGTCAAGCCCTCCTGCTGCAGACTGATCAGCAGAGTGACTTGGAGACCATCCAGGCCGAGCTCAATGCCTCACATTCCCAGCAGCCCCTGGGGCAAAGTCCCACCGAATGCGCCCCATGTCCCACCAAGCAGTGTGACGGAGAACGGCACGGCATGTCAGAGTCTCTGTCTATCCCAGCAGCACTTGGGGAAACGGGTCTAATGGAAATAAACATTGAGGACACCTTGTGGGCTGAAAAGACTTTAATGGCGCTAAGAGGAGGGAAGCCTCTGCTTCACCCACGAGCCTGGTTTGTGTCTCTTGATGGACGCTCCAATGCTCATATTCGCCACTCCTACATCGATCTCCAGCGGGCGGGGTGCCACAGCAACACGCCGAACGGAGGAGGTCCACAAGGTAATGTCAGTGGCGGGAGGCGGGGCGGGAGGCGTGGCAACAGCAACGATGCCAGTCTGGACTCCGGCGTGGACCTGAATGAGCCAAGAGTGGGCCGCAGGGGGAGAGATGGAGGGCGGGAGGAAAGAGAGATCGACAGGTCGAAGGGCCCGGCACCAGCCATGGCCTACACTCAGCTGGTGTATGTGGATGATCTGGAAGGGGGAGGCAGCGAGGAGGAGTCGCCACAGTGCAGCCCACAGGACAATAAAACAGGAGCCGTCCTGTCAGCCAAAGCAGAGGGTCAGAGAGGGGACCAGGGGGATGTGGAAATGCAAATGCAAGAGGAACCGCCCTCACTTTCCTCTTCATCCCCTGATTCTACTCCTCCCCTGCCAACACCAGAGGGAGAGACGTTCAGGACTGATCATGCGCTGCTGTCGGTCTCTCCTGATGATGACGATGCAGCACAGGAGGATGGAGAGGGGGAGAAGAAGAGTCCGTGGCAGAGGAGAGAGGAGAGACCCCTGCTGTCCTTCAACATGAAATGATCCACAGACGACCACTTCAAGGATAGGACCTCATCTTTTCTTAACACAATACTCACATGCCCTTCTGCAAATTGAAAGTATTTTTGGTTGCTGTAATTGTTCCTCCTGTGAATACTGGCCCTTCTTAAAGCACCAAATGTACAGTCATTACTCTTTTCTTAGAGGCTTTAGCAGTCTGAGTTAGTCAAATCAAGTCAGAATCTCCCAAAATGACAGTCTTTTTAGATGGCTTGAGGACTTTGTTAATTCAAAATGGATTCCAGCAGCAACAATAAAAACATAAGAGGTAAATAAGTAGATGGAGGAATGAAAACAAATACCTAAAATCTCCAATGTCCATTATGAATAAAAGGTCCATAAATCCACTTTGCAAAAAGATGCTCCTTTTAACTACAGAACTAGCCTGAGAATCATCACCTTCATAAGTTTTCTTCAGTATCAAAGTAACCCAATCATAGCTGTCCGTACCTTTTGATTTTGTCTCCCATCTGCTGCCTATGTAGACCGAAGGAACAACCACAGCAACTAAAAGTGTTGTAGATTTGGGCTTGTCAGTTTTGTTGTGAGATAGACTTGAAAAAGAAATGTGAACCTATCCTTTAACCATGACGCCCCCCCCAATGCCCAGACCATAACGTGAAGGATACGACCATTTAATTTGAGACTCTTTGTTTTTCGTCATAGAGTACTGAGATAACATTTCAGCACTGGGATTCTAGTCCAGAGTATGAAGCGATGATTCAGGAACCTTCATCAACATCCACGACCACTTTATGACATTACCACTGTTTTACTCCACTTTGCCAT